ATGCCCAATTTTTCCAAACCACCCATTCTGAGGATAGCTACTCTGGTCATCCATACCCATACGGTTTACCGAGATCGAACGGCATTTTTAGTCCCTTGTTAAGTGAATGCTCTTTACTCCATGATCTTCGACTAGTTAAGCCGGTGTTTTCACCGGGTCCAGGCGGGGTTCCAGGTTGTGTACACAGGTACTGCACCGAGGTTCTATGTGGACCCTTGCTTAAACTACTCACACAGTCCATCGATTCTTCTTGCTTCCGCCCGATCAGGAAGGAATCGTTTATAATTCCTCTCCATAAAAAAGGTAGCAAGTCTAACGCAAAGAATTATAGAGGTATTGCAAAGTTATCCTCTATACCCAAAATGTTTGAGAAGGTTTTAACTCCGCACTTGCATCATCTCTGCAAGTCACTTATATCTGCAACTCAGCATGGATTTATAAGTCGGCGTTCAACCACCACGAACTTGTTAGAATTTACCTCTTTCATTATTAAAGGCTTTTAAGGTAACTTACAGACAGATTTTATTTACACAGACTTTAGTAAAGCATTCGACTCTGTAAACGATTCCCACTTAGCGCATAAACTTGACCTTTTAGGTTTTCCGCCTAACCTCCTGAGATGGATTTCTAGCTATCTTTGTTCCAGGTCTCAAAGAGTCCTCTTCAAAAACTCCCTCTATTTACCAGTAAAGGTTTCTTCGGGAGTACCACAGGGCAGCCATCTAGGACCCTTACTCTTCACACTCTTTACTAATGACTACGGTATTAACATACTCCCGAGTACTTATGTATGCGGATGATGTTGAACTCTGTGCCCAGTACAAGGACATTTCATTCTCGCTTGCAATCCGATCTCAATACCTTTCAGTCATGGTGTTGTGCAAACTTGTTACACCTTAATACCTCGAAAGCCCCCTTCTAGCTCTTTATTGGCTCCCTATACCCTATTTGGTGGTCCTATTGAGAGAATCACCCTGGTAGATGATCTTGAGGTTATGTTAGACCACAAGTTAAAGTTTTATGAACACATTTCTACCATGGACATGGGCGTGCTTGCGTTTATAAAGAGGTGGTCAAATGAATTTGAAGACCCCTACATAACAAAGACTCGCTATAACTCGCTTGTTCGTCCGATCTTAGAATATGGCTCCTGGGTATGGTGCCCTCAGTACAAAGTACACCAGGACCGTATAGAATCAGTACAGAAAAACTTTTTACTCTTTGCTCTGCGGGGCCTTAACTGGGATGAAGATGTGAGACTCCCATCTTACTCTAGTAGACTGCTATTAGTAAACCTCCCATCCATAGTTAACCGTAGAAAAATGCTTGGTGTGATTCGGATGCACAACTTGATCAAGGGTTACAAAGACAGCCCTGATCTGTTGAGCCGCATAAACTTCACGATTCCTATTAGACTTACTATAAATTTTATACCGTTGTAGATCGAATTGTTCCTGGCATGAACCGTTTAAGGTCTAATGCTCGGATTATAATTACATCTACCATATTATATCCACCACTTATTCTCCTCCTCTTATTAAATTACTAATCCTTACACACCTTTCTAGTAATTAGTAATTGTAACTCTCTTAGTAACTTGAATGCTAATTTTCCTCGAATATTAGTCTAACAGCTATCTTTCCTGCATGTCTCCCAGTAATTTGGAATGAGTCCTACATTATTTCGCTTCACAAAAAAGGTTCAAGATAAAATATTGAAAACTATCGTGGTATCCCCGTCGCAACATGGTTTTTTCAGACATCGTTCAACATCGACTAACATTCTTGAGTTTTCTCACTTAATCCACCGTGGTTTTTAAAATGGTTTGCAGATGGATGTAGTTTTTACGGACTTTAGCAAGGCAATCGATTCTGTGAAATATGCTCTGCTTATTCGCAAGCTTTTTTTTTAGGGTTCCCAACGAATCTTCTAGATTGGATTTTGTTTTATCTCTCTAACCGTACTCAACATGTTTTGTTCTCTAATGTGTTGTCAAATATTGTCAATGTTATTTCAGGAGTGCCACAGGGAAGTCATCTGAACCCGCTTCTGTTTATTGTATTTGTGAATGACCTTCCTCAAGTTATAACATACTCTACTACACTAATGTATGCTGATGATGTTAAAATCTGTCTGGCTTACTCTTATTTGTATTTTCACACACGCCTTCAACGGGATCTAAGTGAACTACTATTGTGGTGTTCAACTAATCTTCTTTTTCTGAACCTTTCTAAATGCAAACTTATGACATTTTACCATCGCGCTCACCATTTTGTATCATATGTTCTAGGAAATCATGTCCTGGAGCGAATTTCGAGTTGAAATGACCTCGAGGTCCTATTTGATCACAAGATGTGTTTTAACAGCCATATAGCTGCAACAGTAAATAAAGCTAAGGGTGTGTTAGCGTTCATCAAGCGTTGGTCCAAGGAGTTTGAAGACCCGTAAGTTACGAAACAACTCGTTAGTACGTCCGATTTTGAAGTATTTTTCTTGTGTGTGTAGCCCTCAGTATAAAGAGCAGCAGGTTGTCATTGAACCCGTGCAAAAGCAATTTTGAATTTTTGCCCTTCGTAACTTAAACTGGGACTTGGTCTAGACTAAATAATGTAATGTTCGTGCACAAGCTCCTTCTCGGGATTGTTGACTCCCAAACTCTCTTGGGTCAGATTGACTTTGCCGTTCCATCTAGACCTACCCGTACTTTTAGGCAAATCCGCTTACCCATAAGTAGGTCTAATAATGCCGAACATTAACCTTTTAGGGTTATATGCCATAGTTATAGCTCCCTCTGTCATACCTTATCCCCTGAACTATCGCTTAAACTAATAGCATGCAATATTTATAATCATCTATATTTTACTAACTTCTCTTCTTTCCTCCTTTTGTAATTAAATAAATAAAAAACTAACGTCCGCACACCCATCTTCACTATCATTTTTTAATACGTCGGCAAATAATGATCAGGCAATTGCCGATCTTTATGCCCAATTTTTCCAAACCACCCATTCTGAGGATAGCTACTCTGGTCATCCATACCCATACGGTTTACCGAGATCGAACGGCATTTTTAGTCCCTTGTTAAGTGAATGCTCTTTACTCCATGATCTTCGACTAGTTAAGCCGGTGTTTTCACCGGGTCCAGGCGGGGTTCCAGGTTGTGTACACAGGTACTGCACCGAGGTTCTATGTGGACCCTTGCTTAAACTACTCACACAGTCCATCGATTCTTCTTGCTTCCGCCCGATCAGGAAGGAATCGTTTATAATTCCTCTCCATAAAAAAGGTAGCAAGTCTGACGCAAAGAATTATAGAGGTATTGCAAAGTTATCCTCTATACCCAAAATGTTTGAGAAGGTTTTAACTCCGCACTTGCATCATCTCTGCAAGTCACTTATATCTGCAACTCAGCATGGATTTATAAGTCGGCGTTCAACCACCACGAACTTGTTAGAATTTACCTCTTTCATTATTAAAGGCTTTTAAGGTAACTTACAGACAGATTTTATTTACACAGACTTTAGTAAAGCATTCGACTCTGTAAACGATTCCCACTTAGCGCATAAACTTGACCTTTTAGGTTTTCCGCCTAACCTCCTGAGATGGATTTCTAGCTATCTTTGTTCCAGGTCTCAAAGAGTCCTCTTCAAAAACTCCCTCTATTTACCAGTAAAGGTTTCTTCGGGAGTACCACAGGGCAGCCATCTAGGACCCTTACTCTTCACACTCTTTACTAATGACTGCGGTATTAACATACTCCCGAGTACTTATGTATGCGGATGATGTTGAACTCTGTGCCCAGTACAAGGACATTTCATTCTCGCTTGCAATCCGATCTCAATACCTTTCAGTCATGGTGTTGTGCAAACTTGTTACACCTTAATACCTCGAAAGCCCCCTTCTAGCTCTTTATTGGCTCCCTATACCCTATTTGGTGGTCCTATTGAGAGAATCACCCTGGTAGATGATCTTGAGGTTATGTTAGACCACAAGTTAAAGTTTTATGAACACATTTCTACCATGGACATGGGCGTGCTTGCGTTTATAAAGAGGTGGTCAAATGAATTTGAAGACCCCTACATAACAAAGACTCGCTATACCTCGCTTGTTCGTCCGATCTTAGAATATGGCTCCTGGGTATGGTGCCCTCAGTACAAAGTACACCAGGACCGTATAGAATCAGTACAGAAAAACTTTTTACTCTTTGCTCTGCGGGGCCTTAACTGGGATGAAGATGTGAGACTCCCATCTTACTCTAGTAGACTGCTATTAGTAAACCTCCCATCCTTAGTTGACCGTAGAAAAATGCTTGGTGTGATTTGGATGCACAACTTGATCAAGGGTTACAAAGACAGCCCTGATCTGTTGAGCCGCATAAACTTCACGATTCCTATTAGACTTACTAGAAATTTTATACCGTTGTAGATCGAATTGTTCCTGGCATGAACCGTTTAGGGTCTAATGCTCGGATTATAATTACATCTACCATATTATATCCACCACTTATTCTCCTCCTCTTATTAAATTACTAATCCTTACACACCTTTCTAGTAATTAGTAATTGTAACTCTCTTAGTAACTTGAATGCTAATTTTCCTCGAATATTAGTCTAACAGCTATCTTTCCTGCATGCAGCCTTCTGCTGGTTTCAGACGGGCCACTTGACGGTGCAGTAATTGCATCGCCTCTTGCAAGATACAGTCATTGCATGTCAACGGCCAGAATATATAAATTACCCTGATATAGGTGTCAAGTTTATGTTAATGCATCAATAAGTCTTCTTTTTTTTCCTTTTGCAATTAAGGTTCGTTTCGGTGCATAAAATGCCGTTTACTTTTCATTTCGTCAACGAAAATGTTTTCGGTTTGAAAACGAATAAATCTTGCGGAATATGAAAACGGGAGCCCCAATTTATGTATATTATATAATGTATATGTATAATAAAATGTGAAGCTTAAATCAATAAGATAAATTTAGTCACTTGTGTCAGGAAAACATACCTTTTGATCCATGAACTACGTTCGGAAAAAACTCATCGTTGTGCACTTTACTATTTTCTAAGCTAGAAGTTGATTCGTTATTAATAGTATCTTTCGATTGGATAGAGCTAGTGTCATCTTTTCTTTTTCCCAAGTTGGTTTCATTACTTTTAAAAGTCTGCACGAACTGTGCTCGTCCACGACCGACGGATGTGTCCATGTTTTTAATGGTCTTTAATAAATCACTTCCAATGTTATCTTTAGGAAGCCGATGAAATTCTCCACTTGAAGTAGAGTGATGAATGTCAAATCCGCAGTCGTTTTCATAATATTCACTAGAGGAAGAAATTTCCGAAGAGCGAGTCTTTTTGTTAAATAACTTAAGCAAATTTCCTCGACCTGACATATTCTGAAAAATATAAAAACACATATCTGATATACTTATCTATCTATATTTATAACTCAAGAACGGCTGAAACGATTTGGCTGAAAATTGGTGGGGAGATAGCTTAGATACAGAAGACTGATTTTTATCCCACACAGTAGCAAAGACTATACAATACCAAGATGTTGCATGAGCGACCAAAAAGCTGTTCTATGGCGGGTCCTAACATTAGAACCCAAAAGGCACGAGGGAGCGCGCGGGGTTTCAATTCCCTTTTCGCCTGTACTTCGTCTCTACCGCGACCCCGCCGCCCATCGGTTTCGTCTGTTCGGCAATTCTGGACTCTCGAGCCTCAGCACCGTCGAAGCGGTGGTCGCGGATCGCCAATGTCTTTGGAGCGGCACAGTGGGAAAATTCGATAGGAAAATTCTCTATTAGAATTTATCTAAAGCACTCATACAATTTTTTTACTATTTCGGCTGAGTCCCCACTGTGCCGCGCCAAAGACATCAGCGACCACGCTGCCCTACGGTTTCGGTACGCAGACGATTCATATTTTGTTTTTGTATTCTTTCTCTCGAGACACACCGACTCGACGCTGACCGAGGCATTGACGAAGCCGAGTAGCGTAAAAGAGAATTGAAGTAATAGCCCCGCGCGCCCGTACCATGTAGCGTCAAACAAAAATTGAAAAAGAATTTGTTCCTCATGCAACATCTTGGTATTGTATAGTCTTTGACAGTAGTCTGTGTGTCACAGGCACGGGCTTGGCTGTTTTTTTCAAAACATGAAATCATTATTCGGGTCGGCTTAGATACGAAATCATCTACAAAATTCTTAAAATTGTTTGGGTTGATAAATATACCTTTTTTTTTTTTAATAGGGTAAGTAATTTGCATTCTATTTAATTCATCTTTAAAAGTGCCGCGACCAAGGCGATCAAATCTTTACCGACAAAGCCGTTATTCAAGAAGGTGAAGAAATATAGCGAATGAAACTATTGAAGAACAACAAATTGGCCGTGAAGAACGCAGCGTTGGTATTGCTCGATTTTGTTCTTCTCAAACACAACTGCAAAGCGAGGCAGCACATGAAACAGCTCGGTTGGCAATGCGAAATCGTCGAGCGAACCCTATCGACGAAATAAACGCTTGCCTAAGAAAACAAGAAATAAGAAAATAAGAAATAAGAAAATAAGAAGAAACTTCAGCTGAAAACAAACATGAGAGTAATTGCTGACTATCGGTAATGGTCGAATACCGGTCGACGAATAGAGCAGATTTGGTTTAATCTCCAGAAAAACTGTAATTTTGTCACAACAAAAAACGAACTCATCAACAAACATCATTTTCAACTACAAAAATAATTAATGGCTAAGAAAAAAGATGTAGATGACCTTAGCCTTGGATGTCCCAGGCTTAGCATCGCACAATTTACCCCTAAAGGTTGGATCCGTAGTAATTATGCTTCGAACCATAAACCCACCAAAACAGTGCAACGGTACGCGTTGGGTGGTAAGAAATTTGATGAACAATTTATTTTACGCGATGATACTCAAAGGAGAATTCGAAGATGAGGAAGTTCTCATTCCCAAAATTCAGATGATCCCAAAAGATATGCCGTTTGAGTTTTAAAGGCTTCAATTTGTCTTGCATTCGCCATGACTATTAATAAATAACAAGGGCAATCATTGAAAGCATGTGGTTTGAATCTGAAAAATCAATGTTTTCCCATGGCCATCTGTGTTGTTATACCCGATACTCAGAATTAGTATAGGGGCATATTAGATATTTGTAACACTCAGAAATAAGCGTTTCAGACAAAACAAAAAGGATATATATTTTTGATCAGCACAAATAGATGAGTCGGTAGAGCCTGACTGTCCGTCTGTCTTTCCCTCCGACCTCTTGTTTGACGCTTAGTGCCCAGAGACCATAAGCAACGAAATTTTGTATCCCAATCTGTGGCATCCACAATTTTGAAGATACATAATATCTTTCAGACTGAGATTCGGCAGTCAGTCAGATCGTATTATTATTATAAGCAGACGGAACAAATGATAGTTCAGTACCTACGCAATGTGGCCACGCCACGATTGGCGCAACTGGGATGGATAATTCAGGGCATTCTAGGATTCTTTGCACAGCTAATAGTACTAAAAAAAAAATTATAAAATTATTATAAACTTAATTATATCCAACAAATATATTAATATTTATATGGTGTTTCCTTTTGTAACTTTGAAACATGTAAAATGCGTGCGTACCTAACTTTTTCATTTCAACATTTAAGTCATGCAGGAACAGATTAAAAATGATCAACTAAACAGACATGCGATGATCAGAGTCATAAGCTAGGAAAAGAAAGATAACTTAATGCAAAAAGCCTAACAAAAAAGATAGCTAAAAGATTTGAATTTTTTAACTCGTCAGTAGATTTTATATGTGTGTCCGAAACGTGGTGTACGTGTATGTGACTAGTTAATTTCGTGCTGTGGGTATAACGTTTTTCATTTGTACCGTCAAGGGAACAGCCCCAAATATACACTAGACATCCTAATCGGATGCTTGTATCGACCTTTATGGAATATTCCAAAATGCTAAATGTTATCACCGAGTTATCTCTGACATATGTATACAGATATAACTTTGGCTGGTGACTTCTACAGTAATGCAACGAATGAGATTCACCTCGCAAACAATCTGAAAAAAAAATTTTTTTATGATCTACTTTCCGAACCCGTCTTCCCCAAACATGACCTGATATTTTTAATAATAAAGAGTCAAATGTGAGAACTTTACAACTGTGGAAAGGTTATCGATACTCCAGCCCAGAGTCACGATTTTAACCCCATTGAAAATTTGTGGGCGTACTTGAAGAAAAAAGTGGGAAGAAGACAACCCAAAAACCGCAATCAACTGAAAGAAATCATACTAGAAGAATGATAAAAAATTCCCTTTGACATCCAAAAATTTATCAATTCGATGAAAAAACGGAAAAATCAATGCTAAGGGAGGACATACAAAATATTAAAATAAGTTAAATATATTAAATAATCACGAAGAATTTTGAATTATTGAAATGAAAATATTTTGTGCAAACAGTTGCAAGTTACCAATTTATAGTTTTGTTATTCTTTTTTCACAAACTACTTTATAATTCATAACTGAATTGTTATGAATTCAACAAATTTGATAAATTTGAATCCAAGGCCATTATTTTTTTATCTAAAGTCAAAAAATTTAATTTATTTTCAGTGTGTAAAGAGTTGCTTGACATACTGTATATATATCACTCTCCTGAAGCAGAAAGCTGACGAATTTCATAGCTAAATTGGACAATAATATAAATAAATTATTATAGTTTAAATTTTCAACGAACAATAATCTAAAAAAAATTTGAGGAAATTTAGCAGTAGGCAAATAAAACACTTGGAGATCTGATGAGCCTAGGCCTTGAGGCTCTAAATTGTAATTTTGGGAACTCAAAAGTACCTGTAGTTATAGTTATTATCGTACCTGCTAATAACTGTTATTTTTTTGTGTTGATCAATGTGACGTCCTGGAGACTATTTTTAAACTTTAATAAAACGCTATTATCCTCGATGATATTAACACAAATAATTTGTAAATACTTCTACTAATAACACTAACTAGGCAACAAAATTTAACTTTTCCTTTACGCTTTGAGGCAAACCGACTTTTTCTGGCAAATTTAGGGCTTTAATCAGGATTTAAAAAAAAACACACACATGTACAACGGCTATTTTTAAAAAAGGTTAACCGCGAAATATTGTTTACTAAGCTATAAAACCCTTTTTGTTTTTCGTGGTTCGCACTAAGCCTTGTGAAATCGTACCTACGGAATTCCCCAGGGCTCAGTACTTGGCTCTCTTCTGTTCTCAATTTATGTATTTTACCAAATGTTGTGTCTCAATGTTAAGTCCATATGTATGATGATGTTGTTCAAATGTACGTTAGTCGTCCACTCTTTAAGTCCACGAATGTATTTATGTAAGTAGTAAGCCTAATTCCATAATTGAATGGGCGCAAAAAAACAGACTGAGTCTAAAAACGGCAAAGCCAAGAAGCTTATTAATACAAAAAACGAGGGGGAACGTTGTGAATTGCTTCTGCGAACCGACATTATACCCGAAACTTAGTCAGTATGGCTCTCCTCCGGCAGACGGCGCTAACATTGAACGACACTACAAAGAGTGCGTGCTAAAGAGACAAAAAATCTGTCAGAACGTGTCGTCGGGCGCTGCGTAACCACTGTAAATTGATTTGTTCCTTTTGGTTATAATAATGATTCGATTTGATCCAGATTCGGCAATCTGGTAGATATGGTCACTCTCTGTGATTGTGCGTTTTTAATTAGCTCGAATCTTTGAAATTGTGGGTGCCACAGGCTTTCGTCCTTTGTGGGGGCGGAAGGGAATGCGGCGAAATTTTGAAATACTCTTATAACAGTGACATATCAAGAAGTCTGGATAGGCCGTTACTATAGCTCTTGTAGTCTCTGAGCACTAGATGCTCATAGGGACGGACGGACAGACAGACATGGCGCTATAGAATATTTTAATAGCCCAGGTTTCGTCTTCAAAAGCGCATTGCTCTGAATGATCTTATCCGCAAGGCGAGAGGATAAACTTATGGATTACTCACGCAAATATATCACACAAAAGATTTTTTACCGCAAAACTTTAAACTTCTGACAGCCAAAGCCTATTTCACCACATCACTATTATAGGGCATATAAGTCTTTTGCTACACAAATACTTTAGTAATCAAAGGGTAAATGTGATGTTTTACGAGTTATACATTATTTCTATAGACTGAAAACATCAGATCATGTTTTAAAATTCTCAAATAAAATATGTAATCTAACTCTTAACGACTGGACGTTAACTTTATTTGTTCAGCGTCAAGTAGAAGGAACGATTTTGTTTGCAGTTCGACTGTGGTTCGCAGTTCAAATGGCATGAAATACATCAGAAACGTAACGCAATTTAAACTTAAACT